GAAAAGCAGAGCATCTTCTCCTGAAAGAGCAAAGCAGCTCAGACCTCCAGCACCCCCCACACCTCCTACCCACCTCCTCTGTCTGGGCCTCAGGGAGGAAGCAGGTGCTCACAGTGTGCATGTACATGTCTACCAAGAGAGAGTTGAAGTCATGTTGTGTTTTGGGCAATACGTTGAGAAAGTTAACAACATCATGTTTTTTGTGTTTCAGCAAACAAATCCGCTGGACTGTGGAAGAAGAAGAGAATGTCACGGGCTGTCTGACTCAAGTGACCCTCATAACTGACCCCTTCACACCTCCTGTCCCACCCAGTCTTCCCCTCAGACACTTACCAGGGTCCTTGATCTTCTTCATATTCCTGCTCTCCCTGGAATACTTGCCCAAGCTGCTTCTAGGAGTAAAAGAGGAACAGGAGGTGAGGGACTGACCAGTGTGCACTGAAGAGTCACAGGGCCCAGGGGTGTCTGTGAAACTCACGGAGCTGGGTACTCAGGGTCAAAGGTAATGGTCATTGAGAAGCAGGCCTCGTCATGGTATGCACACACAAGACCCTGACGGTCCCCATGGTCATACATCCAGTAATACCTGTGGGGAAGGAAAGGGGCCAGGTACTCTGTGGTCTGGGCCCCTAAGTGGACCTGAAAGCCCCCCATGCACAGGCTTGTGCCTGGGCAGCTTGGCCTATCCCAGCCCTCCCTGCTTCGAGGGTCCCAGAGGTACATACTGCCTTAAGAACTGGAACACTTGATTCTTCAGAGTCTCAGATCCAAAGAAGCTACCCTGCAATCAAAACAGTCCTCAGAACCATGATTGTTATCCCCCCTATCACCCACTACCCCCAGCCCTCCTTGAAGCTGCCTCCACACCTTAGAGACTGGTAACTTCTTACTGTCTTCAGAGCCAGAGGTCATTAATGTGGGTAACTCCTGGCCATCCTGGGGGAGGGAAGAGGAAGTTAGCAGTGCAAACCAGGGTGAAGGCACTAGATTTCCAGGGAAAGAATGGGCCCAGGAGACAGGGAAGGTCAGAAGTCAGGATGCAAGGGCCTTGGAAATTCCATATGCAAAATTATTGTAGGGTCTTCACCAGGCAGTCCTAATAGCTGGTGGGAATTATGAACAAGGGCTATTGCCTTTGTCAGGTTCCTTCATGGGTTTGTTCCTCCGTAAGTATTAGGGGTCAGATCCAAAAATCTCACCTGGGCAAAATCTAAGAATTCAGGATAGGTTGTGAATGCCATTTGTTTCAGGTAGAGGTGTCAAAGATACAGGAGTATACTTACCAGGCGTAATAACTTGGGGAACAACTGCAGGATGGAACTGTTAAATATCAAGACAAAACAGAAAAGCAAGTAACAGAGCTGACCCATCTCATGGAAACATGCACACTTACATAGAAACACAGCCAGGTGTGTCCCACCTATGATCCAGTGCCACAACTCCTTCATCACCTTGGCTCCTCATAGACTTACCCAGAGATAGAGCTAGTGGGCCCTCTCTCCATATCCCTCTCCCCTACTTGTTCCTCCTGGTAAGTTCCCATGTGGAAGGGCCTTACCCTCCACTCCAGCATGTGGAGGCCAGGTTCCAGGAACTCTTTCCTTTCCCTGCCTCACTAACCACCCACCAAGTGCCCAGGGAAGTCTCTGGAGGGAGGAGGGAATGGGGTGAGGCCTAGGTCTCTGCTACCTCATCGGGTGTCCAGGCCTCTGCCAGCCCTGTCCCTGGACAAGACCAGGACATGCCTCAGGTATGGCCCAGGATGCCTGGGCAAGGAGATGAGTGAGGCAGGCTGAGGGGGAAGGGAGGAATGAGGATGAAAGTGAGTGAAGGGAGGGGAGGGGGGTGATGGGGAGACAGGGGAGTGGAGAGCAGAGAAAGAGAAACAAGGCAAGGCAAGGGGAAGACATTCACTGTGGGTGGTGGGGATTAGGGAGAAAAGAGGGGACAAAAGGGGAAAAGGCTGCCCTGTTGCCACCCTATCATTCATGTGCCCTTGGATGGCACTGTGGCTGAGGAAGGAATGGAAAACAGGTACTGATTGGGCTTTGGGTGCATTGGCCTTTGTCACCTGTGTGATCCCATCTGAGCTGGGCATGGGAAACAGAGCAGCCAATAGGGCAAGAAGTAAACCCATCTCAGCTGAGAAGTTAGAAGGCCTGTCTCAGCAGGAGGCCCTGGTAAGGAGGAGCTTTCAGAGTCCAGGGCACCAGCATCTGGCTCCTGTCAACCCCAGTGGGGAAGCAGGGCACAGTGTTTAGAGCCCTGGTCTTGGGGAGAGGGGGAGCCTTGCTTCCTGGAACACATTCAGGGGAGGCCATAGCAGAGAAGACTGGGTTCAGAGGGGTGGAAAACAGGCCCCAGCTCCCAGGGAGCAGTGAGCAGGCCAGAGGGAAGCAGGGAGACCTCTAAGCACAAGTGAGAGACAGAGAAGAGGGCAGGAGACAGGCACTGTCAGCAGTAGCTCAGGCATCCAGAGGGTGAAGGTCCTCCAAAGTGTTGACAGTGGTTATCACTGACCTCACATAGTTGGACTGCATTGAGAAGTTATTGCACAAAGCGTTTCCTTGTAGCCACAGTTCTTCGAGTTTTAGCCCTTTTATCTTTTCCAACTCCCACACTGACTTCAGCTGAGAAAAATATAGGAGGAAACAAGAAAGAAGAGTCCAAGGGACAGAGAGACATCTGAAGTCCTGTACCCGAAGTCTTCACCCTCACCCATAGGCACCTTCTTGCCTCTTGTCATCACCCTGGTGAGCACTGTCACCTACCCTCAACCCAAATTATATCTGGCTTCCACTTATTACCTTATTGTTGGAGAGGTTCAGGATCTTGAGTCTGGGGGCCTTCTGTACAATATCAGACAGCCCATCCAGCTGGTACAGTCTGTTGTTGCGCAAGTTCAAGGACAACAGCTTTTGGGAAGAAGAGTTATATTGACAGTTACTATCCAGGCCCTCATATGTATGTGAAAGCTGAACAATGTATACGGAAGACCAAAGAATTGATGCATTTGAATTGTGGGATTGGTGATGAATATTGAATATGCCATGGACTGCCAGACCAAACAAATCTATCTAGGAAGAAGTACAGCCAGGATGTTACTTAGAAGTGAGAATGGCCAGACTTCGTCACTCATACTTTCATCATGTTATTAGATAGGCCTGTCCCTGGAGAAGACTATCATGCTTGGTAAAGAAGAATATCAGTGAAAAAGGGGAAGACTCTGAATAAGATTGACTGACACAGTGGCTGCAGCAATGGGCAAGGATTATAAGGATGGCACAGGACCAGACAGTGTTTTCTTCTGTTGTACATGGACTTGGTACGATTTGAAACCTAGTCAATGACACCTAACAAGATCTAGGGCCTCAAAGACAAATCTTCCCTCCTCCTCATTCTTTCCACTCCTGCATCTAAATACCAGCATTGGGCCTAAGCCCTCTCACCTCAGGGAAATTCTCTTTGATGATGTTCAGGGTGTAATCCATGCATTTTCTTCGATTCAGGATCATGTCAATATCATGTCCTACTAAGTCTTCAAGAAGCCATAAGAAAGGAGTCAGAAGGCTGAGATAGACCATTTGGATCAGCATCTGCACCAATCTCTCCCTAAGTTACCATCCCTAAATCTCCCTCCCATGCATACCCTTCTGCCCTCACCTTCCCTGGAATTATTTCTGTCAGCCATACCTGGGTCAAAGCGTAAGCTCTGGAGGTCAAGAGATTGCTGGAAGTCATTATATCGTTTGTTCATGGTTAGCTACAAAAGCAGAGATAGAGATAGCAACTCTGAGCCAATCGTGGTGGTGGTGGTGATCGTGGGGAAATTGGGATAAAAGGGGTGGGTCTGGGTACACAGCATGTTTTGAGTTTTCATTACCTTTAGTTGCTCAACTTGTTCTGGCCCCAACTTATTCTGCACAGAATAGGGCACAGAAGAGGAATTGACATAAATATTTATCTGTGGGAAAGAGATGCAGGGTAAGTACCAGGAACTCTAGTCTCAAAGAAATGGTCCAACCACTGGTCTATGCTCCTGCCCCTGAACTAGGTATAGTCATTTTGACACACACTGTCATGGACTGAATTGTATTCTCCCAAATTATGTGTCAACTTGGTTAAGCCATAATTCTCAGTAGTCTGGTAATTATGCAATCATGTAATCATCCTCCATGATGTGATCTGATGTGATCAACCAATCAGTGGTAAGGGGATTATGGTATGATACCGCACCCTTAAGCAGGTAACAGCTCTGACCCTATGTAAGTGGAGTTTCCCTGGGGTGTGACCTGCATCACCTATTATCTTACAAGAGATAAAAGGAAAGAGAAGCATACAGAGAGAGTGGGACCCCCTACCACCAAGAAAGAAGAGCCAGGAGCAAGTGTGTCCTTTGGAACCGGGGGCCTTGTGCTTAGAACTCCTAGAGTCAGGAAGATTGATGACAAAGACCTTCCCCCAGAGCCGACAGAAAACACAAGCCTTTTCTTAGAGCTGGTGACCCGAATTTGGACTTCTAAACTCCTAAACTGTGAGAGAATAAATTTCTGGTTGTTAAAGCCATCCACTTGATAACTAAGCACTAGATAACTAAGACACGCACCTTTCGGTTCTCTTCATCATAAATCCTGACGTTCTTTAATGCAGAGGCAGCGCTAGCATCCTGGACAAAGAACTTGACCTGCATTCTTACATAGTGGAACTACAGGGAACAGAGACAACAGTAATAGCATCAGAGGCTAAAGGCCTCTGCTGATCCAGGCCACCCTGCTCCCC